AAAAAAAAAAAAAAAAAAAATGCAATGAAATGCATCTGCAAACAATCCAGCATTACTGGAATTAGTCTTAGGACACAGAAAATCCTGCCAATTTTCAGTCTAGATTGGATTAATGATTCTGAGCTTGAGTTTAAACATTCATTGAAAAAAAGTAAACAGTACTATCCATTGACTGAAAATTAGGTGTTACAGAGATCTTAGAACTATCCGCATAAGACAGACCTCAACAAAGTTCAGTAATTTGCTAGGAAAAGTAGAGCTGGGGAGAAGGTGATTGTGTTTAACTACATTTTGTCCTAATCACATCACTCTTCTCCACCCCTCAGCAACACTGTGCAAAACACCCATAAACAGCATCCACTATGAGGAGAAATCCTGCCAAGAGACAGAGATAGCAAGAACTCCTTTTTATCTATCATAGTCCTGAGATCTTCTTTGAAAGTAAAATGTCAGGGAGTGGAGCACTGGCATTTCAGCATAGGAGTGCACTCCTCCTGGCCCAATTAAAACCATTTAAAATTCTAGACTATGTTTTGGGCAAATGTGGATTCCCTTGGGTCCTGGCAACTAAAGAATAAGAATCTTTGTGAACATCTGGGCCAGGCAAGAAGCGAACGCAGATGATCCCAGCTGTCACTGAGGACTAAGTAAGTTGACCCAAGCTCCTCGGACCCAGTAAGACTTCTGGGTGGACCACAAGTAGAAGTGGCAAGAGACAGAAGACTGGACTTAGCAGAATCTATGCAATTAGCCAAGTGACCTTCACAACCACACATACAAGCCCCATGCATCTAGACATTCCTGTGAAATTTCCCACCATGGGGGAGAGGGCTGTGCAATAGGACACGATAGTGGGTGTGACAGTCTGTTCAGGCTGCAGTAGCAAAGTGTCTCAGAGTGGGTAATTTTTTAAGCAGTATACATTTATTGCTGATAGTCCCAGAAGCTCAGAAGTGCAAGATCAAGTGTCTAGGCTGATTCAGGGTCTGAAGGGACATACTCTGCTTCAAAGATGGCAACTGCAGCTGGGCATGGTGGGGCTTAGTCTGGGAGGCTGAGGAAAGAGGATCATAAGTTGGAACATGGCCAAGGTGACTTAATGGCTTAGCAAAAACCTGTCTCAAAATAAATAATAAAAAGGACTGGGTATACAGCTCAGTACAGTGGCTCTGGATTCAATCTCCATTACTGAAAAAAAGAAAAAAAAGATGGCACCTTGTAGTTATACCTTCACAGCACACCAGGAGGGAAAGAAGGGCTGAGACAAGCTCCCTTGAACCTTTCTATAAGGGCACTGATCCTATTCAAGAGGGCCCCACCTTCATAACCTAATCTTCTTCAAAGGCCTCTTAAATACCATCACCCTGAGAGTTAGGTTTCATGTAAATTTAGAGAGTATATTATATACACACAGAACAGAACAAGGGCAATAGCCCTTCATTATAAGACAAGCTCGAGTGCCCTAAAAATAGGACTCCCCTGTATGATCAGGAGATGTAACCAGTACCTTCAAGAGAGGAGACAACAGGAAGTTTCTGCCTAATGCAGTTATTTCTGTCTAAGGAGACTTTTCAAGAATTCCTCACCTAAAATTTGGATCTTTATCCTCTTGCAAAAATTCCCTTGATGACCAGGTAATTAAGATAATACTGAATTTCACGGATTGAGAGTTTATAAATTTCAGTGATCATGCTGTATCACCCAGGTAACTGCTCTCCTTGTTTGTAAGTCTTCTCATATTTACAGTTCTGTCTCTTTTTGCATTTTTTTAAAGAACATAAGCTATGGAATGAGCCCCCTTTTTTCTAATACTATACTAGTACTAATTAGCTGGGAAGCCTTGGAAGAGTTATTTTAGTTCTTTGTTCTTCAGTTTCCTTATCTCTTAAAGAGGAATAAAAATCAGACTTATTCTTTAGGTCTGTGGTAAGGAATAAAAATGACAACCGGGTAGAATGCTTGGAACAGAGTTTGGAATAGACTAAACAGTAATGGTAACCAATGTTAGCTGAGTAGCCAGGTATTGGAGGGATCGATGAAAACATGACCGTTCAGGTTTAATTGCTCACAGCAAAAGTACCAGTAAGGAATTAATCAGGAGAAAGGGCTGGCTTCTCCCATGGAAAGGCACCGGGTGGTGAAGCAGAGATCAGTACCATGGCGCACTGAATTCTGAATCAGAGTGGAGAACAATATGTTCAACACCAACTCCATCTCCAAGGGCTGTGGCCTTGACAGAGTCTATGGCCTGAGAAAGGTCTCTGGAGAGAGGCACTTGGACTACTAGTGAAGCTACACAGAAGAGCAAGGCCAGTGGAGGTAGGAAGGGCCCAATCCCTTGGCTGCAGCTCCCTGAAGAGCCTGTAGTGCCCTGGCTGGCACCAAGTCTGGGTGGAAGGGCAGCCTTCCTTCATGATGTCTGACAGGTGGATGGATACCTTGTCATTCCTTGTGGACGGGCCTGCGAGATCACAGGAGATTTGGGCTGGGACCTGATCTTATAAATTATTATTAAATACATGCATGCATGCACTCACACACACAGATTCCACTTGTACAAAATCATTCAAAGCATTATGCATGCTACTGAGTTTTCATTGGAAGGGTGAGCGCATTACTTCACACAACAGTTATAAAAAAATAGTTTTTATAAATATTTCTATCTTCTCAGTTTCTTTTTGTCTTATAACAACACTTTTTATAAACTGTTTTAAGATACACACAATATAAAATTTGCCATCTTAGTCATTTTAAGTGTAAGTTCAGTAAAGTACACTCACAATATCATGCAGCCAATCTGCAGAACTCTTTTCATCCCACAAAAATACTTCTACTGTATACCTATCAAGCAACAACTCGCCACTCCCCTCTCCCCTATCCAGTAGCTCTTCTAACAACATCTCTTGCTCTTCCTAGTTCCACCACTTTAATTAATTTTGGCCCTATTACATAAAGTGTTTCTATTATCATTGCTGTGGCTAAAATTATTATTTCAGTGTGTCTCTGGTTTTCAAAAAAATGAATTCCCACACCTTCTACCCTTAGGATTAAGGTACCCACCTTCCATAAAAATAACTTTAGCTACAACCCAAATCCTAAACATCCCATTCAGAGACTTGATTCCCACTCTATAGTTTATTGGTTATTTTTCTTTTCTTTCTAAGCACAAATGATACTTACCCATCAAAATTCTTATGCACAGAATTTCTTCATATTATTATAGAATGAGATTGCAGAGACCGGAAAATCAGTAGGAATAAAAGACTTCTGTCTTTACTACCACATTTCTGGAGTAATCCCCACAGCCTCCTTGCATGAGGTATGCACTCAGTAGATCGTACGTTTAAATTTTGTTTGCACTCTCTAGGCGATGTGTTGACATTCCTAGATTCTCACGTGGAATGTAATGTTGGTTGGTTAGAACCTCTTCTGGAAAGAGTTTATTTAAGCAGAAAGAAAGTGGCCTGTCCAGTAATTGAAGTTATCAATGACAAAGATATGAGGTAAGATCGCCATGTTCCATCTGTACTTCTAAGTACATCTTTACCCACAAGCAGTAGAAAGTGCTAGTGCTAATAGGAGCATTTTTGAAAAATCTAAGAAATGCATTGTTTCTCTACTTGAATAAATGAAAATATGTGATAGATATCTTGTGAGCAGCACTTGTTAATCCAATAACCTGGTTACTGCTCATTCTTAATGCTAAATACCAAGAAGGCCCACTATTGATTATCAAATCATCCCCCTTTATGTTCAGCTGAATCCCAAGATATTTATTTTCCTCAATTTTAGTTCTTTTTGTATTAAACAAATATGTACTTCTAAATTGTTCATTTCTTTCTCGAAAATGACCAGGACACAGCAAGGCAAGGAGGCACATGCCTGTAATCTCAGCCATTTAGGAGGCCGAGGCAGGAGGATTGCAAGTTTAACCTAGCCTGGCTAACTTAGTGATTTAGTGATACCTCGTCTAAAAATAAAACATTTTTTTTGAAAATCAGGCTTGGTGTCCAGAGATTTAGTTCAGTGGTGCCAACACCTGCCTTGCAAGCACAAGGATCCAAGTTCAATCCCCGGTACAAAAAACAAAACAAAACAAAAACAGGCTTGGGATCTGGCTCAGTCCAAAGGCCTTTGGTTAGGTTCCAAGAACCACACACACAAAAATGACAACACGTTATTTTTTTAAAGTATAAGTTAAAATCAAGTAATATAGCCAATTAGCCACAAACACAGTTGCATTTTCTTGAATGACTGCTAACTGGTGATGATCTAAAATCACCAACATAATCACCTGTTCTGTACATGAATAAATCATGGGGCCTGTTGATGAAGCATATAAAGATGCATAGAATCTCAGGAAGCACTTTGTTCTTTGTTACCGTGAATGTTTGTTTGTTACTGAACTAGTTATATGACAGTGGACAACTTTCAAAGAGGCGTCTTTGTGTGGCCCATGAACTTTGGTTGGAGAACAATTCCTCCAGATGTCATTGCAAAAAACAGAATTAAAGAAACTGATATAATAAGGTAAGTGTGTGAAATTTAAGACTAAGAAACAGTCATATATATCTTTTTGTAAAGGCACAGATATCAAATTCACCAAAAGGCTCTAACCTATTATTCTATAAACATCAAGATTTACAAGTCTAGCCAATAGATTACTAAAGCAAAGCTTCCCTGATATATTAGTTTTCCAGTACCAAACTCATTTTTAAATAGGCAATTGAACACTATTCAGCCATGAGCTTAGAGAAATCCACTAACACTTCTTGTTCTCTGGGCTTTGTAACCTATGAAACAAATATTAGTTGAATGTGCTGCATAAATACACATAATCTTAAATAAATATGAATAAAAATTAAAAGAGTAAATAATAGTAATAGAAATATCACTATAATAATAGCTGTGGTGAGATTTTCTTTCACAGTCAAATCCTACTTTCCATGGGACAGTTGCCAAATTTTGTAAATAAATTAAACAATAGACACAGAAGCTCAATATAAATTGAAATATGGACTTTATCACTAAAGAAGGCAGATGAGAGAGCACTAGCCAGACTTGAAGCCAAATTGGCTACTCTTGTCTCTTTCCCTGGAGTCTAAAGCTGCAGGACAGGGACCAGACAGCCCCAGGCAAGAAGGAAGGCGCTTTTTCCCCTCTTGGACACAGAACTCAAGCAGACACAAGTTAACAAGTACCGGGAGAAAGCCCAAGCTGTGCACTGCAGCCTACTTTCCCAAACTTACTCTTTAGGAAATTACTTCTCCTATGGCTGCATTGATACTCCAGGGACTGAAGAATTTCTACCATCTATGGTGCATTGAATGCCAAGTGTTCAACCTTCTTAGCCCTACAAGAAGGGTAGCTTTCAATTTATGGAGATGCAGATATCCAGACTTAGAGCAGTTAAATCTTCCCAGGGATACACAGACAACAAAGGAATAATTTGGGGTCCATCCCAGACCTGTCTAAATTTAATACTGTTTTTCTAATCCCAAGCCTAAAGAAACTCTCTGCTTTTATCAGAGTAGTATTTTTAGGGTCAGTCCAGTGGTTGAGTTGAAATTATATTCAGCATAATGTTAGGAAGGGAATGCATTCTGAATAATTTGGTAGGGATGATTTGAACACAGGTAGGATTAGGTACATAAGTGGCGGAAAGGGGAGAGAGGTGTGAGTCAGGAATTATCTTACCCTTGAGAGTACGGTGCATCCTAATGGCAAAGCAGGCTCTCCACTTTCAGCTGACTGAGTGACGACCACCATGGGAAGTGATCAGTGCTTTTCCAACTTCTGCCTACAATGTGATCCATAATAGCTGTGAAGGCTCTGGAGTCAGACCCCTTTAAGTCTCAACTATACAACTTACTAGTACTATAAACTCAAACAACCTTGAATATGTTGTTTGATAATAGAAGTTGCTACTATTAATTCTTCTGATACTTTAATCAGAATATATTTATAAAGTGCTTTCCACAGGGCTTGTCACATAGCAGGCTGTCTGTTCAATTTGTGCATAGTTGGGTACGGTGCTATGGCATGACAGAGAACAGAATCAAGACAGATTACCTAAGTATGAACTCAAATGTGTGATCCACTCTCTCTTGTCCTTGGGGAAGTTTCTTACCTTCTCTTCATGTGATGCACTATCTTAATAATGGTGTACACTCCCAGGATTTTTGTGAAACTTAAGTTCATAAACAGATAATACAACAATGCCTGGTATTAGCTTAACCTTAAGTAAGTTTTATTGAAAAGAACAACCTTGGAGAGTCAGTGTCAGAGTTAGGACAGAAAAGATTCTTAGTTTCAGACCACATTTTGCTGACCCTAATCAAGCTCTGCCACTATGATCATGGACAACTTATCACTGAAGGTCTATTTGTGATTCCATCCCAAAATCTCCCTGCACCCCATAGCCACATAAGAGCAAAAGCACAAAGGACCCATGCTACAAATTGAGCTCCTGTAAAAAAAAATGAGTTCCTGTAAGATGTAAGTTTAAAAAGACAATCTTTTCTTTATGTAGGTGCCCTGTCATGGCAGGTGGATTATTTTCTATTGATAAAAATTACTTTTTTGAACTTGGAACCTATGACCCTGGCCTTGATGTTTGGGGTGGAGAAAATATGGAGCTCTCATTCAAGGTATCATAAAACGTTTTTTTCAAATTTTCTTTATAATTAATGTTTTATCATTTTAATTGGTTTAATTTTGCTAATATAATCATATATGTAACTAACACTGAGAGTAAATTTCATCAAACTTTTAGGGTTTCTGACTTTGGCCCACATTAAATTTGGAAGAATTGATAACTCTTGTGAAATTATTAGGGTTTCTTAATATTTCACAGTATCACCTGTATATCTAAGTAAAGGAGGAGTGGTTTCTTGCCTTTCAGTGTAATGCAATCGGATTGATACCTGCTGCAAAATAAGTTCTCTGGGATATCTCTCTACTAAGTTGGAAGTCCTAAAATCAGTCTCTACCAGGTGATCTTAGAGAATGTATAGGACAGAAGTGACAAAAAGGACCTCTGGATCAGGCCACAACAGGCCAGCTGTGTCCCACAGCACAGCTCCCTCGGGGACTTTATTCAGTCGCTTATTCTATCATTGATCAGTATCTGAGAGAACCTTAGCAATGGCAGGAGGAGAAGCATCCGCAAAGCAACTACTTCCCTGTGGGTTGGGATAGTCTGCGTGAGAAGGGGTATGGCCCCAGAGCTCCTGATGATCAGAGGTGTTTATGTTGTGGGCTACAGGGCTTATGGATCTCCCAAGATGAGAGGGAAGGTGAGCAAACTGACGCTCATTCACCTTTCCTTCTTTCATCCACAACAGGAACTCACGTGTTACACATTGGGATTCTGGGAAGATTTCTTTAGGGGGAAAAAAGGTTTGCATTATAAATTAAGAAAGGAGAAACATTTATTTTATTAATCTTAATGTAGTTCACCATCACAATGTACATAACCAAATGAACTTGTTGAGTTTTTTTTTTTTTAATCAAAGAAGTGCTTTCTAACTTCAAAGTACTACACCAGGCAAGAAGAAGCAGTCCCCATGTGGTCTTTAGTTATTGCTCGTTGCCCATGACCTGTGAAGTGTTCTTTGATAACTGATGCTTATTGTCACACTTTTCCAGGTGTGGATGTGTGGTGGCGAAATTGAGATCATTCCCTGCTCCCGAGTAGGTCACATCTTCAGAAGTGACAATCCGTATTCCTTCCCCAAAGACCGCATGAAGACCGTGGAGCGTAACCTGGTGCGGGTTGCTGAGGTCTGGCTGGACGAGTACAAAGAGCTGTTCTACGGCCACGGGGCCCACCTCATAGACCAGGGGCTGGATGCTGGCAACCTCACCCAGCAAAAGGAGCTGCGGGAGAAACTGAAGTGCAAAAGTTTCCGGTGGTACTTGGAGAACGTCTTTCCTGACTTAAAAGCTCCCATAGTGAGAGCTAGTGGTGTGGTAAGTTCACATGACAACGTAAAATCTTGATCCATAAGAAACAAGTCAAACATTTAAAAACACACTTCAAAAATGTGTGGAAGGGCCAGGTATGTAGCTCAGTGGTTCCGCCGCCTGCCCAACAAGCGCAAGGACCCGAGTTCAATCCCCGGTACAAAAAAAAAAAAAAAAAAAGGGGGGAG